TGTCTGATCAAGAAGTAATTCTGAGAATACACACTGTGAGCAGGCTGGGGTGGTTCGTCTGTGTGTGCTGAAAGAATCTTCCCAGCATAAAACACTCTGGCAGCTGCGAACACAGAAGTCGTTGCTCAGATGACACCAGGAAGGTGGACCTCCTCCTAGGCCTCTGGGCCCTGAGTCCTCCTGTGGGCAGTAGGCAGGAGCATTCTGATGCTATTTGCTAGCATTGACTGTTCCATTTTCTCTGTAAAGGAAGCTTCAGATGTGTTTGGGAGCCTGATGATTTTCCAGGAATAGGCTTCATTCGAAATACAAGTTGAGCTGCCCCTGAGCAGAACAGGGAGAGAAAAAGAGTTATAGACATGTGCGTAGGCAGCCATTTCTCACAGATCTTTGAAAAAAATGCTTTACTATAATTTTTAGAGGAAAGCATCATTTAATTTCCATAAAATAAAATGAGTAAGACTTATGTCTAATTTGGCAATTTGCTGTCCACAGAATGTTTTGACATTATTTGAATTCTTTATGAGAAAAAAATTTATCTTCTTTCTCAAAATTGGGGCTGAAATGTCCCATAAAATGATGTGGCTTGGAGTTCTTTTTACAAAAGTAAATGTTCTTCCTGGACTAGATTCAATTAACTGCATTAGTTTAATGAGAACTACCTAACATCTCTGATGTTCAGAATTATACTGAAGTTATCTGTATGAAAACTATGGTGATTAGTACAGGAAATTTACTCTACAGTGGTTCAAACCTTTTGAAATGCTAAACTGCAAGTTTCCTTGGAGATATGGGTTAATTGCATAGTTGATATTTTGAAATGCTAATTACTTTTTCATCAAAAATTATCAAAGTGGACATATGCATCATCTTCTGTCCATTCCATCTATGTCTGTTTTCTCTTTAACTTGCTCAGATTCCTAATGGAGAAGAAAGCATAGCCAACAACACTGGCTTCTTCCCAGCTTAGTCTAAGCACATAATTTATCCACATCTGACTCTTTCCACAGTCAGTGAGTTCCAAGTCATTCTCTGCACCCTCTTCCCCTCACTTTTCAGTTGAACTGAAGGAAGTGAAAAATAACTTCTCATAAAAAGGATGGGGATAACTGTTGACCTTAGAACAGGACCTCTCAGAGATTTTGGCAAGAATTCATTCTCTATGTAGAGAACTATTCACATTTTATTCAGTACAATTGAGTAACCCAAATGGTTGAATAATGAATAAAAGCAAATAACCCAATAAAAAATGGGTTATGTCACAGAGAAGACAGTGAGTATAACTCTTTTGTTGCGGAGAAAATTTTACTTATGCTAACTTAGAGTAAACTGTCTTTAAAATATCTGAAAAAGATATATAATATAAAAATAATGTGCTGGTATTTTTAAAAGTTCATATAAAGATTCATATTATCTTTTAATTTTATTTTTCCATGAACATTTTGAAGCACACTCATACTGTCATGTGCCGCATAATGAATGACATTTTGGCCATTATACATCAGTGGTCCCATAAGATTATAATGGCTATACCATATAGCCTAGGTGTGTAGTAAACTAAACCATCTAGGTTTGCGTAAGTGCCCCCTAGGAGGTTTCACACGACTCATTTCTCAGAACATATCCCCGTCGTTAAGCTACATGTGACTGCATTAAAATAGAAGGAAACACTTGTTCATTCCCAACACAGAGAGAGGTAAAGGAAATCACTCTCAATTCTTCAGTCAGGAGGGTCACTTTTGGCTCCTCTCTCTTCTTCCATTATTGTCTCCTTCCCATGGAAGACAGATGTCTTTCTGTACTTGGTGTTATCGGGGAAAGGACATTCTTCTGGCATAGTCTCTGATCCTGGCTCTGCTCTTTCTCTGATATGCAGATTATAGGTAAAACATGCCCTCTTTCTGCTCCTGTTCCTGTGAGGAGAACTCTAGCATGAAATCAGATGAAGTGGCTGGGTGTGGGGTGGGGGGCAGTTGTAATGCTTCTTTGGGCTCCATTGTAGTAGGCTGTGGTTCTCCAGCTGTAGGAAAAGCAATTTAGTTCAGGAAGATAGAAGTAGAAAACCAGATATGCTGTCATCCTAAGACCTTTGCATTCATTGTTCCTGGAATGCTATTCTCTCAAATACGCTGGCACCCTTCATATCTTTGCTCAAGTGTCCCCTTCTCCATGAGGCCTTTCCAGACCACCCTACTCAAAATGTCAGTGTCCTTATTAGCACTCCTTATATGGTTCCTTGATATGCCACATAGTTTATGATTTCATTATCTGTCTTTTCCCAACTACAATGTAACTGCATAAGAATGTCGGTTAACTGCTCTGTACCCAGTGCTTGGCGAAGCTTCTGGCATACTACTGTAAGTATTTTTTGAATAAATGAAATTAAAGTTCCATTTCAGCTTCTGGATAAAGCTGTGTCCTTAAAATCAGTTAATCAAGAAACCTGTACTTTGGAAAGTAAAAATAGTACTACATTTTAGTTCCTGTACAGCTTCTATATATATTTCTTAAGTTTGCTAGCACCATAGATGAGAAGGATTGTGAGTGATGAGCACCCTAGGACCTAGAGAATAATGTGTGGAAATCGCAGACCGTTTCAGTCAAAGCTGGCAAGTTTTGTGGGGAGGGGGCAGGTGAGAGGACTGCATAGAGGAATTTTGTAGATTCACTTTCATTCTCGTCTTTGATAATTACATATATAATACATATAATTATATGTACATCAATATATAATCCCTTAACTCTGAGATAACCACTACGTGTATAAAACCATATGACTCTATAACTGTGTGTGTAGGTAGATTAGATAGATAGATATGAAACCAAGCATGATGTAGATAGTGGTTATCTCAGAGATAAGGGATTATGAGTTCCCATCTTCATCACATTTTTGAGGGGTTTATATCAAATTTTGTAAAATGAAAATACATGATTTATACCTGACACAGGGAATAATAAAACTCTACTGAAGAAAAATTCTAAAACAAAGGGAACTAGACAGCTTCCTTTGGTAATATTCTACCTAGCATGCTGAAGAGACCTTTCTGTCCTCAGTTTGCTTAATAGAAACCCTGTATGGATGCCGATACACATATTTAATAAAAACAGAACACCTGCCCTGCTAGATTTGAAACCAATCCCAGTAGTTCTTATGTTTACACAGTGTATTTTCTCAGAATAATGCTTCTATCATAACATTAATTTACTATCTTCAAGCATACAATAGTCTTCTGCTGGTAATAGTTTGACTTCTAATTAAGATAACTGGCAGGTTGCACACATGTGCAACTTTAAAAAGGATTTGATTTAAATTACACTCTAACCATACTCTGCAAAAGGTTTTATTAGTTCAACATTATACAATGACAACCCTCTTGCACCAACTCCCAGGAAAATACATTTGTTAATTAAGTCAAAAAACATTTTTTGATCACCTTTTATGTTTTAGCCACTGGCTTAAGCACCAGCAACATGGTGTTGAGCTCAAACAGACACAGTTCCTAGCAAATTTTATTGTTCTCGAGGGATCCTGCTTAATTCTTAGGAAGACCTTCTCCTTCCACCCATCTTATATTTTCAATAGCCTTTTAGTCTCAAAAGCCCTTAAAAAAGCTCTATAACTTTTGTTATTTTTCATGCAGTTTCATGTTCCATAAATCTTGTTTCAGAGCAGGTATGGCAATTTCTCTGGCTTCTAATAATTTTTCCAAAAAGGGATTTCTTTATAACATGATGAACATACAGTTCCTTTTCTGCTGTTATTTTATGTTAGATCTATGTGTCTGTATACTTAAAGCACAGGCACACATACATGCACTGCTTTCAAACTTGGGTCTTGTATGAGTATTGACACTTAACCATGTGCGGTATTATGCTTCCCCCCCCTACTTGAAATTTCCTCCTCCTTATTCCATTTAATTTCTATAAATCTTATTAATCTGTTAAATCACTTCTTCTCCTGGAAAGAATCTTCCCTATTCACTCCATCTCAAGCAGGTGTGTCTCTCCTCGGAGCCCCTAAAGCACTTATATTGTATATCATAATGGTCATTTTGCATTGACAGTAGCAAGAAACTATTGCCTATCACTGTTATTCACAGTTGCTGTCTGTTTAGTGTGCAGCTATTTTTAAAAGTTCAGGAGGAATATATATCTGGTAACTTTAAAAGTAGAAATAAACTTGGAAGGATCTATATAACTTGGCAAAGAAGTTAAACGTATTTCATTTTAAATCCTTGGAACATGAGCAAATTTTTTTCCTGATTAGAAAGATAGTCACAAAGAAATATGTCAAGCATAGTCATCATTTTTCACCATTTCTTTTTGCCCCTGATTATATGAGGAGAATGCTGCAAATGGTCAGTGCTATGGGTCAAATGTCCCCCAAAAGTTCATGTGTTGGAAACTTAATCTCCATCCTTACAGAGTTAACAGTAGGGAAAACCCAATTATGGTCTTTGAAAGGTGGGGGTCTTTAAGAGGTGATTAGATTGTGAGAACTGTAGCCTGGTGAATGGATTTATCCATTCATGCAGTAACGAGCATGGTTCTGATGGCTTTAAAAGGAGAGCTAGAGAGCAGGTTAGCTCTCTTGCTCAGCCTATTCATGTGTCACACTGGTCACCACAGGATCCTGCAGGGAGACACAACCAAGAAAGTCCTCACCTAGAAGCATCCCCCGGACCATAGACTTTCCATCCTCCCAAACTGTAAGAAATAAATTTCAGTTCTTTACAAATTACTTAGTTTCAGGTATTCTGTTATAAACAAGAGAAATGGAATAATACAGGCAGTTTCTCCGTCTAGCAGAAATGTAGCAAAAGTATTTGCAAGAGCAGAGCCTAGTATCAATGGGCAAGACAGTGCCATAATAAACCTACGTTGCAGTGGGAGGCTTTTGTGTCCCTGAACAGTGGGGCTGTTCCAGAGAAGCTTCATGCACCCAGGAGATGAGTTTCATGTTTTCTCTGAATAGGGTTGGAACAACCTATTGAAAATGTTTAAGCATTGATAGTAGCTGAGAGTGATGATCCTTCACCAAACACAGTGTAATGAAGAGTGAGACTCCATTTTTTGATATTTGACTGCTGACAGCTTTTAAGCTCAATCTGACCCTTCCTCTTTTGCCGCAGCTCTGGGCAAGCTGATAAGAAAGCCTGGGTGCTACCTTCTCTAGCATTGGTGATTCCACCATGCAAGCTCCTGGCCCTGTATGGGAAATTTTACCCCAGCAGTAAAAACCTAAGTCATTTTTTCTTCCTTGCTTAAGCCATTTTAGACCTGCTTGGGAGCCTGCCGGGCTCTCTCCAGAAAAGACTCAGTTATGTAAGTAACTGCAAGTAAGTTTCAAGCTTCTCATACACTCTTGGTGTGTGATGTCATCAGTCCTAATGTGAACCAAATTTGGGATAGAAATTTATGCCTCTCCCAGTGTGTAAATTACAAAATTTTGCCATAGATTTTGTTCGTTTAAAGTGGTTGCCCTTAATCTTTGCTACTTTGTTTTAAATAGTGAAAACATAGATTATCAGCTTGCAATGGCTCTTACTTATCTAAATATGTGATTTGAGGAAACTGAGATGCTTGAGTCATAAAGCTACAGCACAAAACTGTAACAGTGAGCACTGGTGACTGATTCCTGAATTGCAATTTAAAGCCTTCAAAAGAAATAAGCAGGCTTATTTGTATGTGTTCACCTTTCACACTCAAACAATGTAGAGGCCTTACATACCGTACTTAGAACTCTGTACATACTATAACTGGAAGGCAGAGAATCTGTCAAAGTTCTTGTTAATGGCAGATCCAGAATGTCAGCTTGTGCTGTTAAAAGTTCACAGAAAACCTAATCAACACAGTGACCACTGAAGGCAGGAGACCTTTTCAATTTAACTTCTGTATAACCTAATGCTGGTAATACTTTTACTATTATTACTACTAGCTAATAATAGCTGGTTTGTTATTTACTTATTTAGTTTATACGTTTATTATTTATTTCTACAATCTTCCAAGCACCTTAATAAGCACTTTACATGCATGATCATTTTTAATTCTCCAAAATCCCCATAAGATGGATTTTACGATTTTAGAGACATCACTCATGAACAGATGAGGAAATGGACACTTGTATCAGCTAATCTGCAGTCCAGGGTCCCAGGGCTAGCATGTGTGACAGCCTGGAGTCCAGGCCTGTGTGGCCCCAGAAGCTGCCCTCTATTTAACCCCTTGTGCATCCATTCCCACTCCTTGTGTGCACTCTAGGCTCAATACAGTTAAAATTTAGTGGATAATTACTTTTGTATGAAACAGGCACAGAGAAAATCAGGGTAGCATTGTAGAAAGAGTATTGAATAGGTTCTCTGCACACATAACTTTGAATTTCCACTATGCTACATATTAATTGAGTAAAAGCACCCCTCTAGCAACTTTATTTAGCCATTTTATTTATTTATAAAATTACAGGGCTGGATTAGGTCAAGGGTTCTTATTTTGGGATTTAGAAACGCTGAAATTAAATGCAAGTCTTATTTTTATGTGTGTATGCATTTTTTCTAGTAACTGTACCCATGATATATCTATTTCTCAAAGGGTTTCATAAAAAACAAGAATCTCAACTGGATGGTTATTAAGTTCTCTTGTAGCTCTAAAAATATTATAACTCCATCCAGCTTGAGGATAACAGAGAGAAAGCAGAAAGAATCAGGAAGTGATAAAGACAAGTACTTTTTATTTAAGCAATATTTAGCTACAATTTTATTTCTAAACCTGACACTTAAATAAAAATATATGGAGCATTTTTTTTACAAGTTCTAAATTTGCATCTTACATATAAATGGGAAAAGTAATAAATCTGATCTGACCAAGATCTGAACAAAGAGATCTTAATGGTGTAGTAATAAATTATGATCCATTTCAGGAGCAAAAATTGAATCCCGTAATGTTCCCTGCTTGAATGAATCAGCAAGTGTCTTTAGTTTGGGGTAAAAAAAAAAGTGGCAAATTTGCCTATAGCATTGCTTTAGTGACTTTGAAACTTGTATCCATTGACTTCATAGCTCAGATATCCAATTATTAAGAAGTTGTTTTCTCTTCTCTTTCAAATAAATAACTGAAAACTCTGAACCTTCTGATCATAGAGAGCTGTGTAATTTCAGGGGAAATAAAGAGCTTTGAACATTATTGTTCAATTCTTCATATTTAAAAATAATGATATCCTGGGGGCGGGTAATAACAGGGTACGTATATCCTGATCATATAAAGAGATGGCCACTAGCGTGGGTACAGCAGGAAAGATGGCATTTAAACTAATCTCCTTGATTGCCTTTCAAAAGTACAGAATTTCTGTGAGAGCATATCTGCTTTTTATCGGGAATTTTTCCACAGTCAAAATTTTATTGCAGAGCATCTTAGAGATCATAGATAACATGTAATGTCATTGTCTGGATTGATTAACCATGCATGACATCTATGAATATATTTATTGGCATTATGCTGTAATGATGTTTGAAAGAAAAAGAGATTGGCCAAAAGGTTAGGATCAGTATTATAATTAGTTTAAAGAAATTAAACCCGCTCACTCTTAGGCTGTTGCAGTTTTGCCCCTTCTCCCCCAGCACACCATCTTCGCCCCACCTTCTTTCTCCAAACCTGCTTTTCCTCAGTGGTCATCAGAGAGTCTTGTCACCAATTTTAATGGTTATTTCTTAGTAATTGACCTTGATGTCTATTCACATGAAGACACTACCGATTTCTATCTCTTGCTTGTAACTGTATCTTTAATTTCTGTGATTTTTTTTTTTTTAACTTTTCTGGTTCTTCTCCATCTTGTTTAACCTCTCTTTCTTCTATCCTCTAAATGTAGGTTTTTATTAAGATAATATTTCAGCCCTCCTTTCATTCTCTCTAAACATCCTTCTTTTTTTTTTAAAGTTTACTTATTTGTTAGTACTTTTTTTTTGTTTTTACATTTTAAGATGTTGTGGAGCAGTTGTGGGGGGAGGGGGCAAAGGGAAGGGAGAGGAATTTGGGTGGGAGGAGGAGGAAGGAGGGGGGTGGGGCAGAGGCCTGTGGCACCCCCCATTCCCCCATTCTCTAAAATTCTTTCTTGAATAATTTCCTTCTTAAGGGTTAATTCCACATGGAACACAATTAGCTCCCATAGGCTTGCTAAAATCATAAAATATTATCACTGGAAGGAATAGGGTGGTTATGGAATAAACTGAACTAAGACATTGATGCAACTTGTCCACGACACAGCTGGTGAGAAGGGGAGAGAGAGTCAGATGGCGGCGTCCAGCTGTAAAGGCAGCTCAGAGATGGAGAGATGGACGAGGAAGCCAAACACAGCCATAGGTGAGACTGCCCAGGACACATCTGTGGAAAGCCATTAGATAGAAAGAAGTTGTTCCAGGTGACAGTTGGTCCAAATGATAAGTCACCTTCATAATGAATATTCCGTGGGACCCTTTGGTTTGTTTTCCCTTCCGTGTTGGAATTTCCCATAGACCAGTTTCTCTTGGTTTCTTGAAATACCCTAGTGGCCTTCTAATAAATTTTCTTTCTTGTCTCTTTTTAAATTTAAAATTTCAATTCCTTTGAGTAGAATTACTAATAATTACACTCTATTACCCTCTACTAGGCTGCTTTACAAGTGTCCACTTGCACGTGCTGTTACAGTACCTGAAATTCCCTTTCCCTGATCCTCACATCCTCACTTTATTGAAAAGTCACTTGCTCAGTGAAGCTTTCCCTGACCACCTATTCTAAAATTTCTGGCTTCAGCCTTTGTATCCTTTTCCCTGTTTTTTTTTTTTTTTTTTTTTTTTTTTTTTTTCCTT